GGGGGGGGGGGGGCGTGCATGCAGGGAGGGAAGCACACAGCGCCGCAGAAGTATATACAGAATATATATACAGAATATACAGAAGGGACCAAGCATCCCAGAGGGAGGGCACCAGGCAGGAGCCGACAGCCTCATCCTGGAGGAGGAGGTCAGACAAGAGTAAGTGGGGGGCGGGGGAAGTTCTAGAGGAGGGAACGCGCTAGCGGAGGCCTGGAGACCCGAGAGTGAACTGCATTCACGGGAAGCCAGAATGTCAGGGGGGGCAAGAGGGAGGTAGGGCGCACACAGGAGGCTTACGGAAAGGGTTAAAAAGATTGCCTGCTGAGCTCAAGATCACTGTGGCTGCAGAAAGGCTGAAGGGCTGGTGGGTCTGAAGGTCTAGACAATTGCTAGGAGACTCTCATACAGTGAAAGCTAAAAATGGTGAGGGTTTGACTCAGGCAGCGGCCAAGAGGATAGAGAGAAGACAGCTTTGAGAGATGCGGCAATGGCAGGCTCATCCAACCAAGAGACGCAGTCCCTGCCCTCCCAGAGCAGACACCCCAAGGCCAGGAGGATATGGTCCTGGACAGGCCATAGTGGGTGAGGAGGAAGTATGGATCAAGGGCCATGGGTGGGGATGGAGGAAGGGGGCGTTAAGGTTGACCCTTTCATGGGAGGAAGAACAGACTGAACGCCCAAACAGTGATCTCAGTTTTGGACACACGGAATTTTAGGAGCCTGAGGGACGGCCAAGGGGGGAAGGTCAATGGGCAGAGCCAATGACTGAAAAAGTGAGTTGGGCCAGAGAAATCACCAGAGGAAGTGCAAGCCATGGGGGTGGATGACCAAGAATGAGAAGAGGCGCAATGATGGAACCTGCGGACGCCCCAAGTTGAAGAGGTGGAGGGAGAGGGGAGAGCCCTTGGGGACTGGGACAAAGTGCTGAGAGGGGATGGAGCCAGACCAGGAGAGGGTCTGGGTCATGGAAGTCTCCTGGAGGAGTTTCCAGAGGATGCTGAGACGAGAATTAGGGGGGAGCCCATTTGGTGGAGCCAAGGGAGACTGAAATCTGATCAAGGCAGGTGAGCGCCTGCATGGGACATGAGGGGCGTGGCCTGCAAGTTTAGAACTCTCTTTGCAAACACTCGGCTGAGGAAAGAAGATGGGAGAAAGGGAGAGAGTGTTCGTGGAGAAGCCTCAGGAGGAGGCAGGATCAAGGAAGGGTTTTGTTTGCTTTCAAAGACGGGTGAGACCCTGAGCTGGGAGGTATCTTGAGGGTAAGAGCCAAGGCTGAAGATGGAGGAGGCAGGCAGGGGAGGCCTGATGGAGAAGTGCCCTGAGGGGGCCTGGAGGGCACAGGGAACACGACGGTCACGGGTCGGGGGGAACAGGGGCACACAGCAGGCCTAGGCGAGGCAGCAGCTGCAAGGGGAGGTGAGATCCCAGGTGGGGTGTGGAGGATGGGGGCAGGTAGTAGACGGGACATTGGGGGGTGAAGCGGGGGAGGGGAGGGAGCTGAGGCTGCCGGCGCCCAGGCCGGGAGCCAAGACAAGGCTGGGTTGGCACAGTGAGGAGGCAGAGTCTGGATTCAGGCTGTGCTACAGGGAGAACTGGGCAGAGTCAGCCAGAAGCAGATGGGCCATCATTCCCAGCCTTTCTGCTCGCCTTTTCTCTGCCAACTTATCATTGAGGAAAATCACTTTCTGCTGCCAGGGAGAGCAATCCACCATCCTGTGCTTACTGTTAGCAGGAGTCATAGTCAGAGGGGCGAGGGACTGACATTTACGGAGCGCTGGTTATATGCCGGACGCTGGCTGGACAACTGAAATGAGGATTAGTTGGCACACAGCTTGACGGAGCAGGAAACTGAGGCTTAGGGATGTGGCTGAGAAATTCCCCAAGTCTCACAGCTCCTAAGCGGCAGAACTGAGATTCAATTCCCTCCCCATCAGCTGGACCCTCAAGTCCGGTACCGTGACCGTGGCTGCCTGAGTCTGAAGATTCATGCTCTCCTGACCTGATTTCCTTCGCGTCTTTTCTATTCCTGGGTTCATACTTTTCCCCATTTCCCACCTTACATTCTCACGCACCTCCCTCAGCCCACCGATGTCCTCACACTGACTGACTTCCAGGCACTTTTTCAATCAACGCTTCTTTTGGCATTTCCTACGTGACTCGCTCTCCCGTCCCATTTCGGCTAACAAGCACTCGTTATAAGCCCTCACAGAGTATAGGCCACCAAATGCCCTGATCAAATTAGTTCAGGTGGAATTTCTAGAAGCAATAAACAACAAGACATGACAACTCCAGGCAAGTGAAATAGGCTAATGGGATACAACAGTGCAACTCAGAAACGTGATGAGCCACTGCCCACCAGTAGATGTCACTATAGAGACACCCTAGGGACGTCGGAGAGGCTGCAACTATAGGCATTCCTATGGTCACCAGAAAAAACGGATCTAAATCCAATTTCTGTAAATGGAAGCCTTTTATAAAGGAAGACTGCTTCAGTTTTGTGAATAATTACAATCGATCTGTTTTATAGGATCATATTTTTGCTGACTCTATCAGATTTTTAAGAAAAGCTATACATATAAATTCTTAAACCTATCAGAAGAAAATTCCACATCACCTTTGATTTCTTTGTGTTAATTCGTGCTTCGAGTGCTTTAAAAATGACTTCCATTTTCTGCTTTTAGACAGAAGGCAGCTGCTAATGTTTACAGAAAATAATTCCAATTGATTGGGTTCTCTTAGCATGAGAAAATGGAATTTTAAAATCTTACTTCACAATCATAGGACGAACAGAACTTGTACAGGGTACCCTTCAGAAGCCACATGCAGTTGCTAAACAATGTGTTCTTTGTTCCTCACAAGTCAGTAATAAAAGAGCTATACCATCCCCTGGGCGTGCAATGAAATTAATGTTTTTAAACATTTTAAACATTAAAATGACTATAAATTTATCCTAATAAATGAATCCAAATGAGCTTTTCTTTAAGAAATCCCATTAGTTATTCAAATTCATGAACTGCCAACCATAATTTGTGGCACCACCAGTTCTGAACATAAAAGTCACAATCTGTGGGCAGAGGGCACAGCATTGAATATATTTAATGTAGTCTTTCTAGACACCTCTAGGTTTTTAAAGTTGTTTTGGTTCTTGCGATGGTGGTGGTGGTGGTGGTGGTGGTGTGCGAGGGCATTGTGTGTGTGTGTGTGTGTGTGTGTGTGTGTGTGGTTGATGGTATGAAGAGGAGATCAAATCACAAGAGAAAACATGGGATTCTGCCCAGTTTTGGAGACTGTCACATTCCTTAGGGATTTTGATTACCAAAGTCACTGTCACCAAAGAATGACAAAAACTTGTGCTGCCTGTTGCAATGGACTGAATGTTTGTGTCCTTCCAAAATTCATATGTGAAAATCCTAACCCCCGCTGTGACGGTATTGGGAGATAGAACCTTTGGAAGGTGATTAGGTCATGAGGGTGGAGCTCTCATGAACGGGGTTAGTGCCCTTCTAAAAGGGACCCCAGAGAGCTCTCTCACCCTATTTCCTCCATGTGAGGACACAATGAGAAGTTGGCAGTCTACAACCCTCAAGAGATCCCTCATCAGAACCTGACCATGCTGGCACCCTGATCTTGGGCGTCCAGCCACCAGAAATGTGAGAAATAAATTTCTATTGTTTACAAGTCACCCAATCTATGGCGCTTTGTTTCAGCAGCCCCACATGACTAAGACATCTGTTTATCCTTGTTTGGTTTATAACTCATCATCAGAGCATACACGTAAAGGCAGGGATCCCGTGCTGTCAGGACACCCTCGCCACGGCTGGCCACTCACTTGGGATATGGTAACAGTCTTTGAAGTTTTCTTTGACGCGTCCACTCCTCTGTGTGCAAGTGAAACGTGTTCTTCTTTATCTTCTTCAGGACTTGGGGAGTCAAAGATATCAGGGCTTGAAAGGGAAGACTGGATAAAGCCAAAAGAAAATGCTCTTGTCAGAATTACACCTTAGCTGACATAGCTTTTGTTAACATAATGCAGTGTGCCTTTCAAAGCACTGACACTTCTATTTTGTCTGTCTCCTCATTATAACCACGAGGCAGAAAGTGTGCTATTATCTGTGTGCTAGAGAGAGTGGCAGAACTGGGACTAAGATTTCCTAGACCAGGGATCTTTCTTTCTATGGGATCTTTCCACTGATGCCCGTTGGTCACTTCATCCATGTGAGCATCTGTCATCCATCTTTTCCTGCTCAGAGCCTCTCTCTTTTTTGTAAACATTTGCTGCCGTGTGCCAAGCACTCAGCTTGGTACTGAACTTAACAGTGACATGCCAGACATGGTCCCTGCTCTCACACGGTTGATAGGCCAGTGGGGAAGGACACACAGGTGGAGAGGAAGCTGCCTCTAACCTGCCTCTCCTCCATTCCCTCCTGATCCTTTTCCAGAACCACCAGGTCTACTGCATAGTGAAGTGTCTAAAAGGACTTGTCTGAGAGGAGACCATTTCCGGGGGCAAAGGATCACTACCCCTGCGGATCAGTGACCAGCGATTCTGCAGCCCCAGAGAACAGCCCTGCCTGCCAGCACAGCAAGCTCACGTCTAATTTGGTGCCTGCTGCTAAAACGCTGCCCTCATTGCTGTGGACAATCGTTATCCATTTTGGATTCCATCTTTGCTAAGGTGTACTTACAGAATGGCAGCGTCTCTTGGTAAAATATGGGGATAACCCTCCTACTCTTTCTCCCTCGCTGTGAAGATCAAAAGCTGGATGAATGTAAACCAATTCACTGGAATCACTTGGTCAAAAATGATTACTGTACTAGAATTTTCCTATTTTAGGACAAAGCAGAGGAAAATAAGAGTTCCTGTGGCAAGGAATCTTTTTAAACGAAGAATCTTCCAGAGATATCTTTAGGTGAGCTCATATTCAGCCTTACCTCTATGCCTTCTATCCCTGTGGTGGGAAAATAATCATATTTAGAATCACTGCTTGGCACCATTATAGAAAAAAATCACAGTTACAAATACTGTTTGTTTTCTTCTGCTTACTTACTAAGCAATACATGTAGGGAATTTTAAAGCAATGTTTTAAAATGAAAAGGTCTTGTTTGTTAATCTTCATTTAATCTGAAAATCCAATTACCTAGAATAACACCCGCCTCCAACCAAGCTTTCTTTTAATCTAAGCTTAACTACCTTACAATGCCTGTATCCTTTCATTTTGAGATTTTATTCCAAAGGCAGTTTCCTCCTACATAACCTATGATCCATGAGCTGCCAATCGAAGCTTGCTCTTTGAATTTGATAAACATAAACAGCTCAAACTAGGTGGAGAGGCCCCAGGATGGGGAGTCCTGACTAATGTATTTCCTCGATCATTCCCTCCAATGGCCTTTTAGGAATATGTCCATATCCACCAATCCCATTTTGCTATGAAAAACCTACAGGTGCTAACAGGAAAAAGAGTAAACATGAATTCAATGTACATACCCATATGGGGATGGATAGGAACGAAGGGAAGCGAGTACAGTAATTACACTTCTTTAAAGCACAAATGTATCCTGCTGGTTTAAGTCCACGAGTAAAATTGTTCCATATCAAACGTCAAACTTTGAGCCACCATTGCCATAAGCTTCCTGTGGTCAGGAACCATGTACCTCTTATTCCCAGTTGCAGCCTTGGTACCTGGCACAGAGCTTAGCCTATAGGAGATGCCCATCAGTATCTGTTGAATGAGTGAATGAATCAGTGTGTAATCTAAAAGTGCAGAGAAGACGAGATGCCTTTACCAGGTCTCCCCCAAATATATACAAACTCTCAGACATGGGATGTAGGGACCAAGGGTGGGATGGGGGGGGTGGTAATTCAAATTTCTCTGTACTTAATTCTGATGCCTCAAGGCCCTCTAGATCTTGAAAAGTTAGGAAGGATTTGGAGGCGAAACAAAAATGATGAAGGATTTATAGAGAAGATATGGGAGGTAGGATTAAAAATTTAAATACAGAGATACTAAGAAGCAATTAAATAGGCTGTGTGTTTATGAGGTGTTTGGGAGGGTGTGGAGAGGTGAGAGGGAAAGGGGAAAGAAGGTGGTATTGACACAGTACTCTATATAAGAGTGAAAAAGTAAGCCACTGTTTCAAGTCTTTCTCCCCCAAAGATGGCAATACACAGATATGTTTCCTACAAAGAGGAAAAATAGGATGACTCAAACCACACTTCCAGACCCAGTGGATATGAGAGAAGACGTTCAAAGGAAGTGGCATTCTTTCTCTTCTAAATGATGACCCCTTAGGTAGAGTTAGTAAAAAGTGTCCTGGGAAACCTGAAAAAGGTTAATTTCCTGGCATCTGGGTGAAGGTCCAATGGCCTTAGTCCTGCATTCCCAGCAAGGACAAGGCAATCTGATATATAGAGATAAACAGATAGACAGACAGAGATATACACACACACATACACTGCTTGCAGAAGCACCAAGATTTTGCTACAATGACATTCACTTCGGTGTTTATGATGAATGGAAACAACATAGATGTCCAGTGACGGCGCACTGGCTAGATAAACGCTCATATATTCCCAGGCTAGAACTCTAGGCAGCCAGCCATTCACTGTGACGTGACGGAAGGATGTGTAATGACAGGGGAAAGGTGTATAATGTAAGGGGGAAATGCAACTTCTAAAGCTACGTGTTGTGTGTGATCCCATTTTTGAAGAAATAAAGGATATACAGCAAGAGGTTAACAGTCCTTAGCTTGGGGGAGCAGGATTACTTACTTACTTCTATTACTTTCTTCTTTATGCATTTCCTGCTTCAAATTTGGTACAAAAAATGTGTTACAGGTTTTCTAACAAGAAACAAAGTTATTCAAAATGACCCAAACAAAAACTTCTATGGGTTATCCGGAGCGTTCTGACTGTTGTCTCCTGCACGACCAGGTGCCTCGTATGTTTAAAACCCATCTCCTAAAGGTCTGTGCGGGGTTCCGTGGAGGAATGCCAAGGACGGGGCTTTGAGAGAAAAAGCCTGGGCCACTGCCAAGTGCTGTATAGCGGCAGACCCCTTTCTTTTGCTTTTTTTTTTTTTTTTTTTTTTTTTTTTTTTTT